TTCTTTCTGTCTCTATGCCTATTCGAATCTAAACAAATATTTGACAAACTCTATGTTTCTTACTAACATTGGAAATGTTAGGACCGATCAAGTGACGCTTTGTATAAGTATAACCACTTCTAAGGTTTGTCTTTGGCCTTAAATTATGTATAGATATACGAAATAGTTGCACCTGGAGAGTTCACCCACCATTGAATACTAGATTGTTAAATGGTTCAACAACTTCTTCAAGTTGTCTTAATTGTTTTTTTCTCAAAATTCATATTCAGTGATAAAAAATTTAATGGTACTAGAACCAGCATATGGGCATGCAGCGATTAATGTACACAAACGTAAGAAGTCTGCGGAAGAAGTGTAAAGAAATTGATGCTTAAGTATTAACACTAATCTGATTTTAATTCATCAATTCTGCATCGGAGTATAGCATATGAGCAACTTGGGCCTACATTTTAATTCATTATATCAACAATTTCAAAAGTGATACCAATCTACGAATCAATGGTTCTATCAACAATCACGATTGTTACGTTTAAAAAGATGTCAACCTGAAGAGCGGAAGGAGACCAGAGATAAGGTAAAGTATAGAATTGGCCCAGAGCTTAAGATCTGCCTGTTCGGTAAGTAAATTTCATCCGTCTACGTAACGTATGAGCGTTTCTTTTAGTTGTAACCGCTTGGGGACTGTCTGTGAGACAAAAATTTGAAATCCGCCCCTACATCTATCGAACTAGTTAGCCCAATAATGCCACGTGCGACCCTCTTTAAGTGGCACTATAAAGTAGCCCAAGTCCGTAGCTCGATAATTGAAGAGACCTTGAAGACAATGCAGACACAAGTCGTTACATTCTCTTTCTCCCCCTCTCTCCCCACCCTCACTGATAGTGCACAAATTTAATAAGTAAATAAATAATGACAAGCGCATTTAATAACTATAAAAATGTGAATCTATTGAAGGTTTAGTTTTGAAAGAAATAGTAAGTAAGGGAAAGCCTTTTGAAAAAGATATTCATCCCAATGCTCTGTCTGCATTTACGCAAATTAATTTTCATTATTTTCATGATTTAACAAAATATTAGCAGATAACGCACATACACCGCAACCAGTAAGCCTGCTGTAATCAGGCCAGGGCGCTACGTGTGTAGGCTGCAAAACTCTTTAACGCTTTGCGACGATGATTTTTTGTTTTAATCTTCACATAAGAAATCTATGAAAATTTATTTACATGGATTTGATCCAGAAGCACGACCACTTTTCTTTTTACATGCAAGTTAATTTAACAGTGTAATAATTGTTAAAGACTTTCTTCGCAAGAATATAATAGGTCCCGTACCAAGTTTCATCGGTTTTAATTGCATCCTACTGCATGCTAAAGAATAGACACAATAACGATTAATATTTTTCTATAAAGTGTTTCTTAGAAATGCAGCATATATAGTGCATCTGCTTGAATTGCCCCCTCAAATATGCAATCATATATGTTGAAAATGAAGCATTGCCTACCATCGTTGGCGTAGAGTGTAAAAAACATGTCGCGGACATCCGCCTCGTGCATTAAAGTCATAAACTATAATGAACGTATTTAATGAGCTTAATTATATTTTTAATAACAAAATATTAATTACTAAAAATGTGCAAAAGCACGAATATTGTATGTAGGTACTTGCACATATATTTATTCTTACATAATTTATGTACATACACTATATATAAGCGTTGGAAATGACATCATAAAACGTAGCTAAATGAGTTTCTCCTTTAAATACGCATATGTTCGCGGATGGATTTATTTGTGCGGATAGTTAAACGTAAGCGTAGTCAACTTGAAAATGAAATGTAATTTTTTATAAATTTTTTAAATATTTTCAATTTGTCAGTTTATTTTATTTAAGTCAGTTTATACTGTTCACGATTAAACTTATCTCGTATACGACATTTTGCTCTGACCTTCTGATGTTGTGAGCAATCTTGGATGTAGTTTCATAGCTTAAAATACAGGAACAATTATTTATTATTTCGATTTATAAATGAAAGGACATGTTGTGTTATTATTCAATATAAATTTCCTTAAGATCGGTACATTATTGATTTGATTTGCCCATTTTCCCGTCACTTACATTAGCTACTGATTGTTGACATTAAGATCATAAGACAATTAGATCATAATACTCTCCTTTTATTCCTTTACTAGTTTTCAAGTAATCAATTAAAAAAATTGCTCTTGAAATAGGCTCTTAAATAATTTTCACCACTTTGGACTCAATCCACTCTATGGCTTACTGTAGAAGTGGTAGATCTATTTCTCATTTATAATTACCAGTTAACGAGCTAGAATCAATTTATTCCTTATAAAGTCATTTAGATGGTGTTCGAGAGAGGTGATGGCCGATGGGCGTATTTTTGTCACGACGTTTCCCAATACGGCTTGAATCGTGCCAACAGTTCTTCTATCTATCAAGCAGGCTTGCCTATGTCTATAAATACCTATAGCTACATCCAACTCCTCTTGAGTTAATCGATCAAATCCTCTTGAAAAAAAACGCTTAAACGAACTTATTTAAAATCGGCTATTCAAAGACAGCTATTTCGTAATATTTCCACCATGTGTTTATAAATCTGCTTTCTCTGCTCTCACATTTATATGTATTATATAAATATATGTAACGTACATCACTTGTGGTACAGGCTGCGCTAGATTTGTGCAGGTTGTATCTTACACCTAGAAAGACTTAAAGCACACCTGCCTTTTCTTATAACATTCCGAATATTCAGAATCATTTTCTGAATCGATCTCAACGTGTCCGTTTGCTTGTCGCGGTGTTGCCCGTTCATATATTCTTATGTTCAACTTGCACATCGGAAATTTTTAATAAAATTTCGCGATTTCAGCGAACACGATTTATTTTTAGCTGAAGTACGAACCTCATCTGTACTTCAATGTGGTAAATAGTTCTGAAAACATATTTTTTATACCACGTCCTATATAATTGTTTCTATAGACAGTAAGCCTTGCGCAATTTTCAATATTATTATACAAAATTTAGACCCCATAGATATATTTTCAAGATCCCACTGCATGTGGGGGCATGCGTGGAAAGAAGCGACCAATATGACAGCAACGTCTATTTCGTAATAAGAAATAAATTAATTTCGATAAATTTGCAGGACATCGGGTCATGTTTTGTGCTCTATCCGATATAAGGTGAAACGTGAGACGAAAGAAAGCAAGCTAGAATTTGTTGCAAGTTATCACGAAAATAAATGAAGAACTGTATTAGCGGAAGTAGAACAAGACACTTAATGGTCGATCTTGACAATTTCTTCATTTTTAAGAAAGTTTTTTATCACATTTTTAATTAATTGAATTAGTTGGCAGAAACTTGTCATTGAAAATAAAACATTTCTTAACTTTAACGTCATTTGCAAGGTTACTAATTATTACTAATACATTAACTCTGTATTATGTATGTTATATTAAACGAAATATAATAAAAAGTTTTATTTAACTGAAAGGGAATGAAAATGGCAAAAATTTGTCGTAGTTTGTGTGTAAAAGTCGTAAGCCGGAGTTTGCCTTTAATCTAAACGTAACTTTTTTTAATAAGCAAATAAATTAACACCAGAAGCATTTTTAAATATTTTAAAATTCAACAGCGGAAATAAGCGAAAATGAGCAGCGATGACACACATATTCCGTTATTCTCATTGCAACGTTCAAAAAGATGCTTATAGCTGTGGTCGAACTGTTGTAGCTTACGCTCAATGATAACCCTTAGTAGTGCATGGATTTCCAGTCGAATTAAAAAAAAAAAAAACATTACATATAAGATAAATTTAACAGACGTCAGGCAACTAAACGACCTCTTGTATTTTCACAAAGCTTGGAGCTTTCTCATCGGTAGTATTTAACAATTTCAAGCTCAGAGATTGCTAAAGGTTTGCACTAATCGCGTTAGCAGCCATAAGCAATCACGAAGAACAACACCTCGTTTTTTAAAAATTTTTTTATTAATATAACAAAATTTAGTCTCTACGACTGTCAAGTCGAGGAACGGCATAAAATATTTAAATCCATTACTATTTAAGTCTTATTGACGCGGACACCTTTCAAATTAGTTGTATATGTCGTTTCGAGTTGCTTGGTAGACCAGGTGTGACGATCGTGTTTTGGCCTTAGCACATGCGAAGATGTCGTGAATGTGAAACGTGAATTCTAATTAAAAGAGAAAAAAAATAAAAGATAAAAATGTTGCTTTATTGAAGCACGCACTCCATCATCGCAAATTCATGAAAGTTATCTCAGAGAAGCACGTGAAGATGAGTTATTCCCGTGAGTGCGCGTTGCAGAAGTCGAACACACAATGTCTTTTTCTTTAATTTTTCTAAACCGTTATAAAATACATCCTAAGAAAGACCAAACAATTTGCACGAAACTCTAGTTGTGGTGCGGAGAAATTTAAATTTTCTTTATCGATTTTTCTATTATCATCGAATCGAATAGAAAACCGGTAAAAATGAAGAAAATAAAATGAATGCTTTTCATTTGAGTTCAATTTGAAAGCATCGATTGCAACCTAGTTTCAAGCACGTCTTATATTCGGTTCACTTTCAGTGTCGTTCTTAATGAAAACTGCGCTATGTCTATCGAGTACATATTACTTGCCATGCACTACATTGATGATGACATATTAACTTGATCAGCATCCTTGAAGCGGATTAGCCAACTACGGGTAAGTTTTATTGGTGATCGATTTCGGACCAATCTCATCGCCTATTTTAGTTATGAAAAAACCGAATTCAATGTTTTGTTTGTTGAATGAATCAAGTTTCCCATCAGGTAAATAACTTCCATTCCATAACACGTGAACGGATCAAAAACAAGAATTGTGTCTATGTTATGCCAAGCTATGATTCATGTAATGCCTACTGTATAAAAAAAGTTCAAATTTATGGTACATTGCATGTTCATATAAAATATGAAAAAATTTAAAAAATTTCCTTACCTTTCATACATGAATGATAACGAATGGCAAAATCTGGAAAAAAAAACAAAAAATCAAAGCAAATATAAATCTCAAGTTATTTTCATTATCATTAATCGGGCAAAAAAAAAATTAAAAAAAAAAAACGAAAGTTTAACAAAAACGTTATTCGTAACAGTGTTACACATTTCTCTTTTCCTTTACTATAAAGAACGGAAGATTTCGACAACTGAATAAAATCGACATTAAAACACTATTCAAATGGTTGTACCAGCAAATGTGAAAGAAGTTTTTCAAATTGTAACAGAAAGTCGTTACATTAAACTCTAGATTAGATGCAAAATTGACGTATGTATAAAACGTTACGCGTAAATTTATGCGGAGAAATATAGTTAGAACAAATCCTAGATACCATTGGATAAGTGTATAAAAATCGGGTAACTGTTTCCTAATTAGCGTCCCGTTTCTCCGGTTTAAGAGAAGCTATGCCCCGCCTTGGCGAGGATGGAACCAATATACGATTATGCATCAAATACGCGCGAACCCCTGATATGGCTTTTGAGCGTCGCAAAGAAAAGACAAAACACCAGTGAACAATCGCCAATCATAAGAGAACCGCCAAGGAACTGTATTTGGCTTAGATCTTAAATCTCGTCAATCCTTTCAAAGCTGAGTGAGTGGCATATTGGGTCGTTTGTTTCCTTTGAAACCATATACTGTGGAGAATTTCAGTCCTTTCAATTCACGTCACGATAAACGCGCTAATATCACATGAATTGCTAGGCCTTGCTAATGTGCATAAAGAAATCATTCTTTGCTGCATTCCGAAAAGCAGTTTGAGTTACCTAATGAATGTCTATTATTTTGCTGATATTGAGCCAAAATTGGCTATTACCGGTGAGACTGGATTTGCGATGATAACCGTCTCGTTTGCAAGCGCTAATGCAACTCTGCAATTCTTAATGTTCTGAACTTAAGCATACAAAATGACTTTCATTGGCCAGAGTACGTGTTCGAAACGTCGAAAAATGCAATCGAGTGTCTTAACTTTTTAAAACGGTACAATAAATACTTCACTTCAGTCCATATTCGCACCATTCACATCGTTCGCATGCAATCAATATAAGAGTAGAGTTCTCTGTATATTTGGCTTTATAAAGACACTCGACTGCGTGCAGCGAAACGCCTAATTCCTTATGGGCAACGAGGGTGTGTTCTGGGCTATAGACAAGCAGTCTACCGAAATTAAAGAGAAAGGTCGACCAATCACGTCCTTCACACAGGACTATTCCGCCTATTCAGCATCTCCATCCACTCTTTCTGCAGTTGTCAACATACCTCACAAAACTATATCGCTGTTCGTTGTTTCTTAATCGATCTGCTCGCTACGATATACGTATTCGTCAGGAGGTGGCAACATGTTGCAATAGGGCGATCGTAATGGGGAACTCAGTGTATGAATTTTATAAATAAATAGAATTTTTATTAACATTTTGATTATTGAGAGGT